CATAAACCATCATAAGCCACCTTTAGGTTTCTTGTAGGATGCTCACCATGACTGACTCTGCTAAAAGAAGTAAAAAATAAAATAAAACATAGCGTGGTGCAGCAAGGTGCAGATTACTGCCTGTTGACACAATGATCATTTAATGACGATTTGAACTGAATTTTGAGTGTAAAATGAACTTTGCATTATGTCCACTGTGAACAAACTGACCCAGAAAACAGACCTTGATGATATTGTGGAAGGCCACAGGAAAATAATTATCTCATATTTATGTGCTCTCCTACCCTATGGAAGCCCTGAAAGGCAAGTTAATTTTCTTTTCTCATGCATCTGTTTTCACACAAAAACAAATAAAAATGTATAGTGTGAAAAAAATCACCTGTTTTCACGGATGAAAAAAATAATGAAAAAACTTAGAAGAATGATCATGAGAAAACACTTACACTTATCTTTCAGGGCAATGTTCTGTACATGTGCTTTAACTCAGTAAGCTTACCTGTCTGTGTATCAGATTCTAATGACAGCGTGCACAGTCCCAGTGTTAGCGTGCCTTTGGCTAATCTGACACATACTGATCAACAGATTTACAATAATGACTCCTCAGCACTTTTTCATGCAGTGTTATTTTGTCTAACAGCAGCAGGGTGATGGAGGCCGAACAACGTGGCATATAAAATTTAAAAAGGGACATAAAATGTACATTTCAAAGTTTTATAGAAACCTCCTCATGACACTCTCTTGTTGGTGTAATAGCCACCTTATATCCTTCACAACACCTCGAGTCTCACCCACCTCTTTCCTCTACCATCTGAGCCAGGTTCCTATGTAGGCGCTCACCTTAAATAGCTCAAGACAGAGTTACATCAGATCCTGTGTTGAGATTTATCTTAAAAAGTCCTGTAAAAACGAAAGCATTTAGTCTATCAGTGTATCAAACCACAGGCTGCTGGTTAATGTCGGAAATTATAATCCTGATTAACCATAATTATTCATCTTATTAAAAGGACAATGCGTTTTCCAAATATCAAACCCTTGAACATCTTCGTGTACCAATAGAGCAGCAAAGGAACATGCCAATGTTTGACCATTACCTATCTGGTTCACTCTCACTGCTCTCATTAGCATTGATTCCAGCAGCAAGACATAACTTTCCAGTAAAAAAAAAAGCTCTGATAAACCTACTGTACGCTACCAGCCCAGCTCCTAACAGCAGGCAGACAAAGTTAGTGACTGGCTAGTGAACATCGAAGAGCATTTAGCAGCTAAAGAGCCAGATATTTCCATCAGGAGTTGGTTGGAGACCAAAAACAGCTAAAAGGAAAAGTCGCCTTTACATTCATCAGATGGCAAGAAACACGACTTCAAATGAATGCTAATGATGTTCTGTGTCTGCTTTCTCAATTAAATCACCATACCATATCAACTAAGGTGATCATTTGTCAGTGTTGTGTTAACAGCTGGTTATGCTGTCCCCGAATCGCCGAAAATCAACCAATTAAAGCTGGTTTGACTGTTAACTAATGCCCCCGATGTCAGGATGTTTGTTTGGTCTCGAACCTTGAGTACAGTGGGCTTTTTTACGTTAATAAATTAATTCTACCTTCCATACAAAAAAACGTTCAGAGAAGAATAGCATTAAAAACAACAGCTAATCCATCACAGTGAATATTGAGACAACTAGTGAGTGAGTTCAGATATTTGACTCATGTGAAGTGATTGGGATTGTGACATTTTGATTTAGCATGTTTCTTGTATTAAAAGGCTGCTGGTCAAGAGTTTTCCACAAAATCATCACTCAAAGCTGCATTACCACATATTAATATAACATTAGAAATTAAAAGCTTTAACATTTATGTGTCAACATGGAGAAGAGAGGAAGAGGAGAACATGGACATTAGTAAGGCCAAAGATGCACACTCACCTCTTTGTCTCTCTCTATCTCCAGGCCGGCCTCTAGCAGGTTGGCTTCAAATTCCTGCCTGATTAGACGCATCTCATTGTCAGCAGGATCCGTTGGCTCGTTCCCTCCCGCACCTCCAAGCTCCATGAACACCTCGCCGACACTAGCATCTCCTCCCAGTATGGCGCCTCCTCTTCCTGCAGCCGCATCTGAGCCCACTGACGGGGGAAAGTTGCCATTGGAAACAATGGATAACCTGTCATGTGAAACTGAGGTGCTGGCATGAGATCGTATGGAGCTGTGCCGCCGCTGATTGAAGACCAAAATGTAGTCAACTTTCCGTCGGCCATCAGAAAAGCGAAGGCCTTCTCCGATGCTCTGAGGGCTTGGGGTTGGACCCGTGACCTGTAGGGAGCCAAGAGAAATCAAAAGGGAACGTAAAATATACAGTAATTACTCTGTAAAAGCAGGAAAACAATAGTGATGACCACTGGAACTGCTGTGAGATAGAAAAAAAACAGCCATCTCGATGGTATCACAATCAATTTAACAAACACACATTTTTAAAGACAGCATAGACAGAACCCTTAAGCAGCAGTGGAGTTATGTAATAACCATTTGAATGAACCTAAACATCTACTGCACTGTCAGCACACGCAAACAGAAGTGGCTTTTGGCAGGTTCTCAAAACCACTGAAGTGAGAACCTTCAGCAGCAGAGTGGGCAGTCAGCTCACCTTTGGCAGTTTTATTCTTTATTTAGACAGAGGGAAAGTAGAGAGGGAGACTAAACATGGAGGGCACAAGAGGGAACGCTCTATAGGCTCGGGGCATGATGGGATATTTATTTAACTTCCTCAGAGTAGGTTTTGTTACTTATCAGAAGGACATGTTTCTAAAATATGGGGCTGTGCATCTATGCTATATCTGTTAATTTCTATATTCACATACCATCTGTGTATGTGTGTTGTAACACACAATCACTGACTTATTTGTTGGAATTAGACTAATAAATTGACTATCAATAACACAAATGTGTGTCCGTGTTACTGTAACTACAGCCTCATGAATGTCTTTCTTAAAACCAGATGAATCATTGTCTTGACCTGACTACTCTTTACAGTGCAACATTTAACCAGGATAGTATGCTAATAATGGAATTACACAAGAGCAGGAAGAACCTATTGCATTACAGCCAAGCTAGCTACCTTACGCTATATCTTCAGTCATAGCTAAGTCACTGTGTTTTTATTTTGTTTAAACAATAAAAAATACAATGTCAGTTATATACATTTGATGTATTAATATGTATACATGGCACAAATGTACAGTCAAGCTCAAGTTTCCCATGCAATAGACCATATTAGCTTAATTTGTCATATTTTGGTCTGTAGCTGCTGTCGCTATAGCTCTGCCATTGGTTACGTCTTTCTAAAAAGAACAAATGCTAGTGGAGGTGACTTTATCTGTGCCTCGGAATTATTTTTTACATTGATCACAAAATGCTTTAAAGAATTTTTGGGGGCAGCAGAAGCAAATCGTGAACACAGCATTTACATATCACCTTTGTTGCGTAAAAAGTTTGCATATGCCGCAGTTACAGGGCAACATTAGCATTCCTTTGGAGTCATGTTTTGGCCACCTGGCGAACATAAGTCCAATATTCACTTTCTTTTAGCTCTGTGTTTGGACTCTTTAGCTGCTAAATGCTAAGCTAGTCGCTAACTGTATCACTCTGCTGTTTGGTGCTGAGCAGGTAGTGTAGCTACACAGAATCCTTGGTCCATTGGTCCTTTAACTTTTCAATTCTAAAGTCACCTTCCTATTTATGACTAAGGACCGGACCTGGTCAGAAATATCAGAAAATGTAGCTTAAGGGACTCACTCACTGGCCTTGGCTGTCAGTCAACATTAATATATGGCCACATGCTCTGTTGGTTCCACTACAAGATTTGCTAAACCAACAACTGTCCTGTTGGGTGGCACAATTTACACCTTCATCACTTTGTTTTACATGGGCTTCATCCACGATCAGTACACCATATTTGCTACATTGTGCATTATGTTGACTCTCTGCCATTTTTTTCATATTTGTGAATACACCTTTTTCAAGGCAGCCATTTTGACATAAAACAGTATGGTAACACAGGCAATTATACTAATAACGGTTCCATTCTATTTAATGTAGCAGAGCCTTTCCAACGAGCCTACGTGACAACGACCTAAATGGAACGGAACCTTAGTTAATATCGCTGGTTATATCTATGTTTACCCTATTATTTCATGTTGAAATGGCTGCTGTGAAAAAGGTCTGTTCTCAGTGTGGGATTGAAAACCCTACAAAGCCTTCAGAAATGTCCAGAATGGTACAAAAAGTATCTAGTAATTGGACTAGGCTAATTTCTGTCCAATCTGAAGAGGACGAACTGTAAAATAATCCATCATAATGAGATTTTGAATATTTACATTTCTAACTACCTATTATAAAATGAACTACATTCATTGTGCATGCCGCTTGGAAACATAGCACAGTGTACTGTCCAATAAGGATATCCATTGGAGGCTTTCACCTGCTGACACATACATACAGCACACACAGCGGTTGGTACCTTCAAACTCCTCACACTTTCCCTAAGGCTTTCTGTTTGCTGACACTTTTTATGAATAATACTGTACTGAGAAGATTCCCTCTTGGTTTAGCTTGGCTGCTTCCAAGAAGATTCCCACATGCTGGTGTTAACTAAACCTCTGGGGGACGTTCCCTGAAGGTTCCCCAAAGGTTATACATTCTTTACAGAACAACCTTTTGCTGATACCATTTAACATTCAACAGGGTGAACAGTGACAAAATAATAATAAACACAGGTCATCACTAATAATGTTATGCTGCCTGTATAGTGGGTCAAATGCTCTCCTATACAACAGTAGCAGTTACAGAATCAGCCTAGGTGAGTGTAACAACTGTTCCAGTGGGTCGTAAACAACATGCACACACAGATCGGTCTCAGGTGTAGGGAACTGAACTCAAAGCAACAGAGTGGCTGCGGATGGATACGGATGTACTTACTGGGATCTTGTCTTCACTCGGGGAGATCTGCATGCTGTTGCGCTTTAAAGACACACGGAGAAGTAGAAAAAGAAGAAAAAGAAAAAGAAGAAGAGAGGGAGTGAAAGTTGGCGGTGTTCGCAGATAAAAACAGCCAGATTCATCATCATCACCTTCATCCCCATCATCTCCTAAATGATAAGCGAGTTCACTCCAGTTAGTCCACAGGAGAGACGGCCCATCCACGCCAGATCACATTGTTCTGTTTCAGGAGGGTCTGTGAGGTATAAGAGGCTGCGCATATAGAGTCAGCAGCCTGATCACATGCCGGTGATACCCATCTATCCAACTGTGCGATCTGGAGGCTGCCTGCGCGCGCCGGCGCTTTTTGGCACCGAGCGTGCCACACTGTAAAAAATGTCCGTCTTCAATATGTTCTTTAGGCTCGATGCCCACTCCAAAAATGTCGTTTTAGGTAAAGAAAATCTAAACATTTTTTGCCAAATAGATGAAAATTTAAATTATTTTATGGGTGTTTTTTAATTTTATTAA